TGGCTTTGACTCAGGCAGGTACCTGGCCCAGTTCTAGCTGTGCAGGTCTACGCAAAGCCAGAACACACCCTGTGACTAGACCTGGTCCAAGCCAACTTGCAGCCTCTTCTGCCTGCTTATTCTGCCTTATCAGTGTCTCTCCTGGCAGTGCTCAGTGGCGAATAAGATCATCTAGACATAATCAATCTCACCAGTCACTTACTCAGTCACTCATAATGATTCTGACTAATATTTACCTTACCATGAGGCAGGTAGTGTGTTCGACATACTGTCTCGTTTCATTCTCACAAGCTGATCATTTTTCCCATCTTGCAGAGGCATAAACTAAGGTTTACTACATAAATCATGTAGCTGGAACAGCTGGAACTGGAACGCAAGCAGTCCCGGGCGACGTGCTCAGGTGAAGCGCTCAGGTGACACGCTCAGGTGACAGCGTCGAAAGTGAACGAATACACATACCAAAGACCCTGAGTTGCCTGCCTTAAAGTGACTTATTTTATACTATATGGGCTATATCTCAATTAAAAAAACACATGGACAGAAATCTTCATTGGGAGGTTCACTTGTTTCCTGAGAATGTTTCTCCTGGTATAAATCAACTCACAAAAATCAAAATGCTACTCAAAGAGAAAGGATGAGTAAAGCGTCTCAGCCATATCAGGAGGCAGCAGTGCTAGTCCAGGCCTGTCCCTGCCATGGATGACAACTTCAGGTTTGCTCCCCCAGCACGTGGGATGGTACACTTGTGGCTCTAAGGAAAGGCCAGTGGACCTGGGCAAGATGACCTTGATAAGTCACAGTGGACAATACGGAACTTTAGGGGGGGAAGTTGGGGAGGTCAGCATGAACTGATCCTGAGGGCCTAGCTGGGGTCTTACCCCTTCAGTCTCCTGCTGGGGTTCCTGCTTCCACAGAAAAGGAGCACCTTTCCTCTCCCCCACCTACCTCGGTGGTGGTAGTGGTGGGGTACCGGGATTCCGGAACCAGGTAGGCCCGCAAGCCATGACTGGGTCCTCCCCTCCCCCGGCACTGGGTTCTGGCCCACGCCTAGCACTGTCCTTCTAGGCAGTTCTGTGCCCACAGGGGCCATGTTGCTATGGTGATTCCACTACCTACACAGTGTCCAGGGAGACAGCATGGTGTAGCTGGAGCTGTTTGCAAGACTTGAAGAAACCAGGCTGGGAAGATTCCAGAAAGGGTCAGAGGGAGTGTGGGGGGGGG